TTTATGTCCTTTTGTGACTCTAGCCCTAAATACTTATATATTTTATATTATAATAATCAGTATTCAACTGTGAACCAACATACTTCTGTTCACATACTTCCATAGCCAATGTGTAAAACTAAATTAGTTGCTGCAGAGATTTAATATAAAACGAAACAATGACTTACCAGTTGGCACATGGCAAACTGCTCCTTGTAGAAGTCTTTCACAGTTAGCACTTTTCCACTGCCCATTAATATCAATATAAACACAGCTGCCCAGTGACTGTGACTCCTCGTCTCCCCAAAAGGTAAACAAAGACTTGGTACCATCTGACCACTCAAAGTTAAGCCCATTCTGCAAAAATAAATTTAGGATTATTTCTCTTTATGTGTTACTGTAACATTAGTGGCTTCTTCTTTTGTGCTGATATCCTTTTCATGGGCTGGCAAATCTGGCTTTTCCTCCTCAAGGCAGCTTCCTAACTAAACGATACAGACACATTCCCAAGGACAATTACTATGTAATTCTGCAAGAGCCTCATAAACTACAGTACCTGGCCAATGGGAGCTGCGGAGCCAGCACTCAGGGCGGGGGCAGTGTGCAGAACCGCCTAGCTGTGCCTCTGCCTAGAAACAGCAGGGACAGATTGCCGCTTGTGGGGAGCCACCTGAGGTGAGTGCCCCCCAGATCTGGCACCCCGAAACCACTCCCACTCCCCAACCCCCCGCCCCAAGCCCCCTCCCACATCCAAACTCCCTCCCAGAGCCTGCGCCCCAACTCCCAGCCCCGCAACCCAACTCCCTCCCTCTTAGTTAACTGGAATTTTTCACTTACTGGCACCCCCCATTTCCTTAACATACTGGATAAAAAAGATTTTACTGTACTAACGGAACCACTGTGGCAGCTGATCATGAATAAAGTAGTTATCTGGATCGTAAGTGTACCAAGAATGAAGACAAAGCCACTTCAGTGGTCAGCTTACAAAAGGCTTTTTGCCTGTGAATGTTCTTCTTTCTGCCTTTAAGCTTCCTTTCAGTGCTGGGACTCTAGCATCATACCAGCATCACATCATGCAGTGCTGACACCACACTGATCACAATTTACTTTAATGAAGCTTATATGTTGTGTTACAACTATAGATAAGCCCTAGCTGCATAGTTGGGTTTTGCTTCAGGATCCAAACTTCTCCCAAGTACAGGGGTATTCAGCTTGAGGTTTTTGCTGCAAGCTCATCTCCATTTACAAATCCACCAATTTCAAGTGAATATGCATTTCCTTCCCCCCCCCCCAGCTTATTATCTTGTTAGTGTAAAAACTAATCTACAATATCATATTCATATGCACAGACCCCATTACGTACATCTGAGGTAGACAGTCCAATCCAATGGGCGTATCCTAGTCTGTTTACAATGACAGTGAGGAAGGCTTGGTGATAATGGTCCGTAACGCTGACCAATTCAGTTCCATTTGCCATGCAGGTTTTTAAAGCAGCAAACCAAGTCAGATTCCCATGTATTAGTTTATATGTTCTGTTTCCATATTCTAAAGTATCTGGTACTGGATACATCTCAGATGCATCTATGGCATGTTTGGATGTATCTGCAACAAACAGAAAGAAAAAGACAAAATATCCAGTATTTTCAGTATCAAACATTTTCCTTTAACAGACAATGTTTAATAAAATACCAGTTCTCAAAGCAGAATGGCTATCCTTAAAAACAAATGTAAAACCCCCAAATCTGTTAGTTCTTCTAGGAACATCCCTGAGACCATGTCAACACAGCAAACACAAACACACACACGACTCTTGTTTGAAATCACAGCAAGGCCAAAGATTGAATTTGTGTGGAAAATGAATGGATTCAGTACACAGAGAGGAAGGCTTTCTCTCGACTCTCAAACTTTGAATTTCAACAAGAATTCAAAGGGGAACTAATGCCAGTGGGCCTCAATCCCAGGGTAAGTACCCATAAAGCACTATATACACAGAAACATGCACCAGCTCAGTGATTCTGTTTTACAGTGATGTTTTGAGAGTAACCTTAGAGGGTCTCATTACACACCTGTTTAATGGGGATCTCCTTGATCTCCCACTGGACTGAGGAGCTGGAATAATCCAAAGGTTTGCTTATCTGCTTATCATGCTAATAAGAGCCTGGTTTTGAATTGTAAAAAATACATATTTTGCACAGTGAGTAATGTACATATCCAACTGTGAGGTCTATCTTTTCAAGGAGAGAAAATTGTGCATGAGTCTCAGAGCCAAAGATTAATCCAAACAGTACAAAGACTAAGGGATGACTTCAGAAATTAGCTGTAAAGAGCATCACATATCATATGCAGTATCTCACTGATTCTGGCAAATGGATAGAACGGTAACAGAATCAGATGAGAAGGAGAAAAAAAGATCAATTGCACAAAGCTGAAAACACTTATGAGCCAAATCAGTTGGGAGGAAGAATTTAAAATCAGAAAAATGTGAATGATAATTGGGAATTATTCAGGAACTCTTTATTGGATCCCCACAATCAAGGAAGAAGGCCCTACTGGTAGAAAAATACCAACATGTTTAGAGGGGAAGTGAAGGCAGCTATAAAAATAGCGAAAATGTTATAATTTGCCAAGTATGATCATCTTGTTTATATTTTTGTATCACCTTTGTATGGTGAAGTATATCTGTATTTCCAAACTTGTGCTGTGTTTCTGTGTGACGTCCCCAGACAGATTAGCATCAGCAGTGCCTAGCCTGTTCGATGGCCCTTCAAGGGTAATCAACTGTACAATGAACCCATTGAAAGGAACCTGGGAATACACTTCATGAGTCAGCAAGGCATTTGGTATCCGTATGGACAGAATTCTAAGGCTTATCCATGCTATGTGCTGGGCAGCTTGTGTTTGGGACAAAGGAAGTACAAGCCACATGGCAAAAGAATATAAAGGGCAGCTGCATCATCTCCATTTTGTCTTCATTCCTGCTTCTTCCCTCTGGAGTAACGTTTCTACAAACGAAGCTCTGAACAAATGACTAAATGACCCATCCCAAGTGAGAAAAGCTATGTGTAGCTCTAAAGTTTGTCTCTTTCAACAAGAGAAGTTGGTTCAAGAAAAGATATTACCTCAGCCACCTTGTCTCTGTAATAAAAATAACATGGGACACATTAAATGGATTAAAAGCTGGCTAAATGATAGGTCTCAAAAAAGTAATTGTAAATGGGGAATCAAACGGCAGTGTTTCTAATGGGGGTCCCAATATTTAAATCAAGATGGGATGTTTTTCTAAAAGATACACTCTAGGAATTATTTTGCAGAAGTTCTACGCCTGCGTTATACAGAAGGTCAGACTAGAAGATTACAATGGTCCCTGCTGGCCTTGGAATCTATGGAAAAAACCCAACTATATTAGGTCTTCTAGTCTATCTTCCTGTCTGTGTGGATTGTTCTCTACAGTACTTTTTCCTAAAGTTTTCTATAATCCAGTTTTACAGGTCTCCTGCTGAATCTCATTGTCAGTAGTTTTTTCTGATGGTTAGTCTAAATTTCATACCATTACTCCAAGTTATGCATCACCCCAAATACCTGTTCCCCTCCATGATCTAAGATATGCAATGTATAGCCAGAAGAAAAAAACAAAGATAATACTCTTGGTATTGCTCATGTAGCAATGTTGATTTATCCAAAATGCTACAGATAATTTGTAGTTTTAGGCTGTTGACATGAAACCATGTAAGAGGTAATTTACATTCCACGGTTTATAAAGAATTTATACAACATACCACAGCTGAGAGAGAAGAAAGTGAGTAAGTTAATTAACAATGGAGAGGGGTGAGAGTAAAACAGAAACAAATCCTTACCTTGAGTCTTTTGGCAGATAAAACCATAATTTTTCTGACAGCTTTCTAAGTACCATTTTCCCGTAAAATGAAAATTAGGGTTATTTGATACCAAGGTACACAACGGAACTTGTTCTTGAATATTAGCACTGTTATATCTCTGACCCTGTAATAAACATATATCATGATAATGAATAAACACTGCCTAAAAACCAACTCTTAACTGATTAAAATAAAAATCATTACAAGAGAAAGCACGCAGAAGATTAACCAGCTGACAGTCACTAAACATGAACATTCCAATGTACAACATCATAATTAAAAATTGAAACATCATAATGAAAATTTTGCATAATTCAGTTGAAAGAATGTGAAATCAGAACTAACTAAATATTTCTCTATGCATAAAGCAATACACTGCACAGTATACTTCATGATAATTTTGATTCCCCAGTCTCTTTGGAGCAGATTTTAAAAACTCATTACCACTTGTTATGCCCCCAATTTTGTGCCTGTAAATAGCTGTAGGAGTAAATGATTCGATATGTGCGTCTACCCCATTGGCGGTGTAAATCAAATAGCTAGATGTCTACAGAGGATCATTTTTGCCCACATTTAATTGGACCTATGAAACTGTAACCCCCATTATTCGGATGTGCAAAAGTGAGCCCAGGTTGAGCCCCTGTCAAAAATCAGGCCCTATCCTTTTAAAAAATCATTTATTATTATGTACAAAACAACACCTCCCCACAAAACACATTTTATAAAACTTACATGAACTACTTCAACTGGAGACCAATTGGAATATACCTTCGGATGTTCATTCACCCATTTTTCATAATCATCACTCTGCAGACCTATCCAAACACTAGTCTTCTGTCCAAACAGATTCATTGTTACGAAAGCTGCAAAAAGAAAGCATGAATTTTAACACATACGTTATTGTAAGCCAACTTAATTACTAGCCAATGTCATTTCATAGGTATTGTCCTTATTAGAAGGAAAGAGCACTAGCAGCATTTCATTTCCATCTAATCTTAAATTTCCTGGTACTGATTGACTTCAGTGGGGTCAGGATCTAGACCATTATCTAATTAGGGTTGAAGAGGTTCCCACAGCAGTTGGAACAATTTTAGTTTTTTGATATGACTGTTTCACTGAACATGCATTTCTCCATAGTAGTTAAAAATTAGACTGTGTAACAAAGCTTGACGGCTAGATTTTTAGTTCAACTAAAAAAACCTTTACACACATGACAAATTTTAACCTGGGACTTTTTTGAACAGGGAATATAAAAAGTGCCAAGTGCACAGGTGTTTGTTACTCTGACCAGTCCAAAATAGAGTCTATAAAAAGACAATCTAATATAGTGCAGATAAGACCCAATGCACTACATTCATGTAACAAGGATACTAGCTTTTCATCATTATTACCATTATTTTTAATTAGGTAGATTTTACAATATTATAATGTTGTTTTCCTAATATAGGAATTTTATAAAGCAATCTTTAAAAATGTATCTCTCTATCTCTGGCATTTCTAATTCATGCATCACCTTTGTATGTAAGCACAAAGTGTTGTGCAAACAATAATCCTCAAAATACACTTTTGAGGAACACAAGGAAATATTATCCCTGTTTCATAGTTTGAGAAACTGAGGAATGGAGATTTTAAAAAGATTGTTCAAAATCACTTGAGAGAGTTAGTAGCATAGCCAGGTTTGGAATGTGAGTGTTCTTAATTCCCAGTCCTGTAATTAAGATTATGCTTTACTTTACTAATAAAATAAAGTGTCATCTTTATTATAATGCAATACAGTATGGTCAGTAAAGTACCTTGTTCTACTTCATTTTCAATAGAAGCTAGTGACCCATCCTGTTCACTGCAGAAAGTTTGGGCAGAATACCAGTTCGTCAGATGGTCTGGATCCTTTGGAATTTGTATCAAAAAGCACTATTCCCAAAAGCAAAAAATGTTTAATTTTTTTACATTTTAAAATGAGTTTGGTGATTGTTAAAGGTGCTGTATTGACAGTCCTGAAGACTATAGTCTTCTGATTACCCACAGAATAGGTGGCAATGGCCTGCCATTGTGTTTGAACCCTAAGCAAGAATGACAATCATTTCAAAGGGAGACAGGGCAGGGCAGAGTCCATGCTCTTTCAGTATCTAGGCCTCTCTGCCAAAACTGTCAACAAGAGTGAAAAATCAAGATCAGCTGGGTCATGAATACTGTGATGTGGACAACTGCCCACCAGGAACTGGGCTGAAGCCATCAAATCAATTCAAACAGGTCACTGAAAAGTAAACATTTATTTGCATAAACACATCTCTTCTACATTCTTGGTATTAATTTTCAGTCACAACCGATCAGGGCTGGATTCAAACCAGTTTAAAGGTGAAATGTTCCTTGGGCCAAATTTACCCCCGAAGTCAGTGGAGTTTAACCAGGGATGACTCTGGCTACCTGTCTGTCCCAGGGTTACAGAATACACAGGTTTAATATAAACCGAAAGAAAATTTTATCACTGCAACTCTAGTGTGTGAATAGACTTAGGTTTATAATCTTTTCTGAACATTATTGTAACAACATGTATAGGAATGTGACAATTTCTGAAGGAAAAATACAGGGCTCCATTTAGCACACAGTCTTCTTGTCATATTGGAATCACATTCCTAGGCAATAAAAGCCTTCTTTAGTGCGTATGTCTTAATTGGGGTATGGAACAGGCTAAGGCCCCAATCCTGCAGACACTGAATACACGTGACACAAAAACACGAGTAACTTCACACACAAGCACTCTCATTTTACTCAACAAAGTCAAAACATTCTATAACTTAAATGGGACTACTTGTGTATAGAAGTACTGGTCAGCATAATCATTTGCAGAATTGGGGCCTATATTTATATGCCTAAAAAGCCTGTTGTCAAAAGGGAAAACAGTATCTTCAATAATTTGTAACATCCTTAATAGTCCACTCACTATCATACATTTGTAATGGGCTTTGAATAAACAAAAATATATATTTTTTTACCTTGAATCCAAAGTACAGCCATCCTTTGGGACATACTCCTTGCTGGTTCTGGTTTTTTAGAATTTCTCTCTCTATTATCCATACAATTTTACGCTTACAAATAGAAGGAAGAGAAATGGTACAGTTTTCATCACCCCAGAGTCCTGTGAAAAATAATTATAGAAATTATGTTGTTACATTCATGTTAAAAAAGTTGCTATGTACATCAATTTGACGACTAAAAATTACTATTTTTCAGATGTTATTGTTAACATTGCTATAAATTTATTGGCCAAATGACACAAGGCTCTACATTCAACTCAATGGTATTTCTCTGTATGTCTTTCTATATTAGAGGTGGCCAAGAACTGGAATTTACATTCCGCTGGAAATACTGACATTTTCAATTTTGTTTTCATTCTGAACTGGAACAAAAAGCTGAAATTTTGAGATTTGCTGTGAAATGAAAATTCAGAAAAAAATTGATTTGGGATCATTTTGAAATATTTTATTTCAATAGAGCTGAAGTGTTTTGTTTCTATCATTTTAATTCATTTAGTTTTTATATTATATTAAAATATTAAATATATATTCATATTAAATATACTATTTAAATATTTTAATATAATATGAACAAAAGGAATCAAAACAAAAATATTTCAGCACTATCAAAGTGAAACATTTAGACTTATTTCTGTTGAAAATTTGTCAGAATCAACATGTTTCTGCTAACCATTTCAATTTCAACAAAACTATCAATGGAAATTTTTAAACCAGCTCAAATCTGTATAACACAATGACTTTTGAAAACTGCATCTGGTTAATTCCCAAATTCCAAAATTGGAAAACCAGAAAAGTTTGATTTTCACTAAAAACAAACCCACAGACTGCCCATTTGGTGCTGGAGGTAGAGGAAGCTCCCTGTCGCTCTCTGCTGCTGTCTACAAATATCACAGACAGAAGCTTACTTGAGGGATACACATTTCCTTGCTTATGTAGATTGAGCTGTACACCATTCTGGGGCCCTTGCTCCCACCTTGGCCAGTTCCCCAAGCCGGGCCTCTTGCCCTTCCCCCCCACCCCTGCCAATCTGGCCAGCCAGCCCCCACCTTCAGGCAGGCAAATTGCTCCTTTCACCCCCTTGCTATGCCCCTCCCCCCCACAAGCTCCTTGCCCACTCTCTGGCCAGTCTCACCCCTTCACCCTCACCTACATTTACACGTAAGTTGGATAACACACAACTTGAATTACATGAGCAATGAAGTGTGCAACCCTCTAGTGGCAATTTATTGCTGAGAATTATACAACATAGAGGTGCTGATGCTCAGAGGTGCTGTGATGACCCATACTAGAAAATAAAAAAAGAGTAAATAATCACAGGGTCTCATTTCAAACTCAGCCTAAGAGTCCTGTTTTGTCTGATTTCATCTGTTCTCTTTCTTGCAAGCTCTACTAAACATCTTCATTTTTGGCCATGAGGACAGCCATGCTCTCTCTCAAAACACAGCAGTACCTTGGTTACTCCATGATGGAGCAGCGGATACTACCATAGTTGATGCAATCCATGTGCCCCTCCGGTAAATAGTAACCCCACTTGCCTACATATTTCACCTTTGGTTGTTCTCATCGTCACTTCAAAACACTGCTTCTTACAAGGTAACAAAACTACACAACTTTGCCACTCAGCCTACTCTCAACACTGAATCTATTTTGACAAACAGCAAACATCCTTTTGGTTGACACCTGGAACTTACAGTATTGCCAACCCCCAAAATTATAAGTAAGATCCCAAAAAATCATGAGATTATTAAAAATAATACATTTTAGGTTCTTTTTAAAATTTGACTTCTGCTTTTTGAGCCTAGGGATCACCTAGTTACAATTTTTAGCTTTTCTCCATTGCCACAAGGGATAGAAAGTTAATTTAATTTAATAAAAAACCCCCAAAGCTGAGACTCTTATGTTACCAAATGACATCAGAAGCTGGGGCTTTAAGAAAAACATCCAATATCACAAGATTCATGATAAAATTCTGAGTTGGCAACACTATAATTTTGATAACAGTAGCAAAAATATAGATCCAGCTAATGATGCAAGGAGCTGACAAGGGAATAACAAAACATTGTGCCAACAATCCTTAAGCAAATTGGCTAAAGAACCAAAACCAAGCTAGAGCACTGAGTTAGTAAAGTTTTGTGTTGGCATAACTACAGTTTACAAAAGTATTAAAAACCATTACTAAATCAATCCAACTCATTTGGGATGAACAACTGGCTGAAAACTGGCAGTGCATTAGTTTTACTGCTGTGCAAGAAAAATTTCTAATATGCACTGAAGATTCATTGTATGACTGGATTATTTATAATTTTGATATTAAAAATTTGGAACTTTTAATGTTTGTTTTAGATGCTTTGAGTCAGTCTCTGGGAATATTTTCAGGTTATTTTGCTATGGCTTTGTTCCAAATAAGAGTGTCACTATCTAGAGCAGGGATGGGCAAACTTTTTGGCCCACATCTGGGTGGGAAAATTGTATGCAGGGCCATGAATGTAGGGCTGGGGCAGGGGGTTGGGGTGCAGAAGGGAGTGTGGGATATGGGAGGGGGTGCGGTGTGCAAGAAGGAGCTCAGGGCAGGGGGTTTGAGTGCAGGAGGGGTTCGGTGTGCAGGAAGGAGCTCAGGGCAGGGGGTTGGGGTGCAGGAGGGGATGTGGTGTTCAGGAGTGGGCTCAGGGCAGGGGGGTGGGGTGCAGGAGGGATACGGCAAGGGGCTCAACGTAGGGGATTAGGGGGCTTAGGCCTGTGGGTACCACTCCCGAAGCTCCCATTGGTTCCCTGTTCCCGGCCAACGGGAGCTGCGGGGGGTGGTGCCTGCCGGTGAGTGCAGCGCACGGAGCCCTCTGCCCCGCCCCCCCCAGGGGCCGCAAGGATGTGGTGCCGGCTGCTTCTGGGAGCGGCATGGGGTCAGAGCAGGCAAGGAGGCTGCCTTAGCCCCGCTGTGCCACAGGGCTTGCAATCCTGCGGGCTGGACTGAAAACCCTGACGAGACGGATCTGGCCCGCGGACCGTAGTTTGCCCTCCCCTGATCTAGAGTTCACTTACTGGAAAAAAAAAAAAATAGATTGTGGGTTATTTTGCATGTTCTACAGAAATATAAACCTCAATCTAATTTAGCAATAAAATGTGCAATAACCCCTTTAGGCCCATAAAACGATTAGTTTTTGATTAATGCAACAAAAGGAAATGTAATATTGACCTGTCTGTGATGAAATGAAGCCACATCTTTCACCTTGTGTGCGCACAGATCTTTCTTTTCCTTCATTCCAGTTCTCATATACTAATGGTGACCCATCTCTCCACCTGCATAGAAACATTAAACATTTAGTCTTCATGTGTCAGTATAATAATGCCTGCATCTGTAATTTTCACTCCATGAATCTGAAGAAGTGGGTTTTTTACCCATGAAAAAATAAATATTTATGCCCAAATAAATCTGTTAGTCTTTAAGGTGCCACCGGACTCCTTGTTGTTTTTATTAAACATTTAGTGACATTCTCTTCTTTTTTCCACCCCTCAAATTGCCACTACGTTAATAAATGCCACCAAACAGATAGAGGATAGAAAACGTCCCTTAATTAGCTCACAAAAACCCCTATTCACATTGTTGTGTTATATCCATCATAGCCCTTTCAGTAGAAATACTGTTAAAATGGGAAAAAACAGTAATAAATTCTGAATTACAGCCCGCCCCCAATGACCTAAGTGGATCCTTGACACCCCATGCAGTCATAAAACACAGTCTTATTTTGACAAACTGAAGGGCAACTTGTAAACAAGATATTTCAATTTAAAAAACAAAAACAAAAAAACCCCGACAAAACAAAGCAAAAATCTCAAGCACACTTTAGTACATTCTTACCGAAATCCATCACTAGATACTTCAGAGTGCAATCCAATCCACCAGCGTATGTCATTTTTTGATAGCTGTAAGAATTTTTTTTTTTTTACCAGTGTTTAATTACATATAGTTCTCCTAGTAAAGCATAAACAACACCTAAGACCCAGTCCTACTCCCACCAAGGTCAACGGGGGCAACATCCAGTCCAAATCCTGTTTGCCTTAATTTATACGAGTAGACCCATTTACTTCACGGAGACTATTCATGCAAGGACAGCGAGATTTGGCCCTGAGTTTGCATTTGGATCTCCGATTTACAGAGGATAAATTGCCAATTTTAGGGATTTATAGCTTGTTGGTAAAACTGTGCTGTGACCTGAAAATTGCTACACAGGTCTGAACCTGAACTTGTTTTGTTTACTTAAGATATTTTTTTTTTAAAAAACGGGTAATTTAACTTTTAAAATGCAAACATTCCCTTTTAGTATTAAAATAATGTTAAACAGTCATTAAAGTTTGCAAGTTGGTTACATCACATTTTTAACGGCTTTATTATTACAGTTCTACATTACAGATTTTAGAGTGAGTGAGGTGTTCCTTTTAATCCAGAGAACAGATACAATACAGACAGCAACAATGTAAGCTTCTACTCACTGCCCTGCCAACATGTCTCTCCCCGAACTGTGGGTGGGGACCACTTCTGGGATGACATGATTGTTGAGTGTTTATAGATAAGGCTACATTTTAGTCACAGGTATTTGTAGTAAAAGTCATGGACAGGTCACGGGCAGTAAACAAAAATTCACAGCCCGTGACCTGTCCGTGACTTGTACTATATACCCCTAACTAAAACTTGGGCCGGGAGTGCTCTGGGAGTGCCGCGGGTGCTGGCTAACATTCAGCCCAGGCCTTGTAGTTTCAGGGATGTGTTGAGACATGTGGAATTTCAATTCTCCTTGTCACACCTTGAAATACCTTCAAAAAAGTTTCTCATGCCTGATTGTGATCAGTGCAAGGACCACATTAATTCCATTCAAACGGTTTACAACTTTAATTATAGTTGCCCATGCTCCTGCTACCACTGAAGTCAATGGTAAAACTTCCAATTCACTCTGAAGAAAACAGGATTAAGTCCAGTATTTCATGTAGAAGCTACTATAGCTCAAGAACACTTGGCTATACTGGGCTTTAAAACTAGTTGGAGCTTCGGTGTAGACAAGACTCTGATGGCCAGAACTGTTTTTATAACTGAGGTTTAACTAAACCAGTTACAGGAATAGTTCTGCTGCCTGCAGCTCCAGCTGGTTTTAACAATTTGATGTTTCCCCAGTGCAGACAAGGCCTGATTGGCAAGTATTACCCGATCCTCCAAGGAGCTGAGTGCCTCTTGTGAGATGCTGAGCAATCTTGACTCCTGCTGAAGTAAATATGAACTGAGGGCAATCAATACCACATGGGATCATGCTCATAATCCGACATAAAACCAGTGAATTAAGTTGAGTTACTCTAGATTATTTATATACATTAAATTTACATTAATAATTTAATTAGACTTGAGAGCAGAATCTGCCTCTTTTTTTGTAAACACAAAATTGTAAATCCTCTTTTTACCTAGATCCTTGAAGGATATACTGGTAAAGTCAGTATTACATGCAACATGACTTTAAAACTTGTCTTATTCTTTTGACAACCCATTAATAAATATCCACTATTTGTTTTTAAAATGAAAAAATGTTATTTTAAAAAGTGGTTAAGTAAAATCATCTTCATATAATCATTTTGATTTACCATTTTAAAAATGATTTTAAGTCAGAAAAATATTTTGTAAGCGTTATATATACTTCATGAATAAAATATATATTTTAAGTAAAACCAAGTTATAATCTCAACAGAGCATAAACTATAATAAGAAGCAATAGACCTGGTGATTGAAACATCTGCTGTACAACGTATACAAGGATAAGATGTTCTTTCATTACAACCTATCCCTGTTTAAATTCATTTTCAATATATTTTGCGTGAAAATTCTCACTGTCTACTACAGATGAAAACAGGCTAGTAAATCATTGAAAGCTTAAAAAAATCCCATTGCATTAAGAAACAATCTGCTTAAGTGTTTGTTTTACTTTTTAAGGTAAAAGCAGAGAGGACTTTACATGCTGACAGTAAAAGTAGACAGTAAACAATTACAGCTTGATATCTTTTTGGCTCAGCAATAGTTGGTGATCTTTTAAATTAGTGCTGCAGAGTGTAGTATTGCTCTGACTAAGGCACCAGAATCATAGCTATTATGTGTTTTTTTTTTTCTTCCTTCATTCTTTATTACTAAGGACATTTAAATGAAAACAGGCTCTTTGTTTCTTGGGAATTCATCTATTTCTGCAGCTATTTCTTCCATGTAAAATAATAATAATAATCTGCTTATTACATCATCACGATTGCTATGGAGATTCTGATTTCATATACAAATGAGAATTATGATAATTTAGAAGCAAAAATCCGGTTTTCATACAAATTACCTTAGTAACAAAGGGCTCTAATTCAGAAGAAATCGTATGCAGCATTCTAAAGAATGGGAGTTGGGAGTGACACCCTGGACTGGCCTATTCATAGGAAAAGTTGATCTGTTGTGCAAGGGCTAAAGCAGCCAGCTTTGGAGCTGCTTAATGAGTGGGAAGCTTGTGCATTACCGATTCCTGCTCAGCACTGCTGAGGAGTAACTACAGCCCTTCAATTACCTCTTTAGAGATGTATGCTTAAGAAGAGGACTTCAAAGCATTCAGGAGAAATTTCTTACCTGATAATTTCCTGTCTGCTAGCAGCATCTCCCTCAGTTCTTATACATACGAGCTATTGCCCTGCTGTCTGCAGTTTCTGGGTGCAGTTCAATGCTGCTATAACAACCCCAGCTGGTCAGGTCCCCTTCTCCAGCTTGCCATCACATGATTCATTCCAAGCTGTATAAAAGCCTTATAGAATATGATTAACAACAATAGCTCCAATGCCAACCAGTAAACCATGTATAAGAGGCTAACAGGCCTACAAATTGTAGATATAAAAATTAAATTTCGCTCCTTGGGTAAAAAGCCATTCAGGGAAGGTAGAGTTGTGGAAGACGCTGCTATCAGAAAGGAAATTATCGAGTATGAAATTGCCCATTCTGCAGCCCAGTGTTTCTCATGAGATGTATGAGAAACAACAAGCAGTGAACAGAAATAGGGAGGAATAATAAAGTCAAATGAGATATGGAAATTACTTCCCAAAATTAATTGCTAAAGTGGCATGTAGCACCTTCTGGCCAAAGGAGGCCTCTGAAGAGGATAGAAAATCCACCTTATAGTATCCAACAGAGGTGTTAACAGAGAACCATGCTGCTGCCCTGTAGATCTCTGCAACGAAAACACAGATTCTTTCTGCTCATGCAAGTCATCATAAACCTCATGAAAGGTGCTTGACTTCACCAGCAACAGATGAACCTGATGTCTTCTATGCCTCTACAATGCATAACCTGATCCATCAGTCCAGGGATCATTTCAGTAGCAAGAGCCCTTGGCACTTTGGATGAAAGGACTTGAACAAGAAGCCCAGTCTTCTTGTTGATTCATTACATTTGATATAGATCCTTAGTGATTTATGAACCATCCATATTACCCCACAGCTTTTCTGTAGGAGGCTATGGTTTTGGACAGAATGATGAATCATCTCCTTTGAGACATGAGAAGATGAGTTCACCTTTGGCAAGAAAGATTCTGGGGTCCTTACCAGCACCTTGTCAAAATGGAACACACAATGAGGTTCCTGTTAAAGTTGCCAACTCATCTAGCAGACAGGATAGTGACTGTGTGGGGAGGAGAGGGATGGTTTTGGTTTGGACGCACCATCCACCACACTCCAATTTTCCCACAAACAGGGGAGCACCTGTGAATTTGGATGAGCACAGGATTTGTTTGGAGTGACTGTCTTGCGAGGTGTAGCCAAATGTGGCACCGTGCCTGGGAGATGAGGTCTCATTGCTAGAGTCCTTGGATTTGCTGTTGGGAAGAAGGGGAGCTGTGTAGAAGCCTGCCTCTTTCCCCAAGGAGCTTAGGACGCACTTCGTTATCTGGGGGTTGGGGGTGTGTGTGAGAAGGCGGGAATGACATGGTGCCCCTTAAGGGTTTTTTCCTTATGGCCCAGGTCTGTGCTGGGACTTGCCCCCAAAGCTGGCTGACTGGCATTCCCCTTGTCTTGGATTCTCTCCCTGACATGTTCTGCATCTGTACATTGGGCTTTTCTGCATTAGAGTCGCAGCTCCTCAGGGTGGGGAACCCGACATGCCAGTCCAACTCTAAGGCCCTGTGCTCTGGCAGAGCGAGGGTGGTTGGCTGTGAACAGGCAGGTCATAATTCACCCTCTGGAGAACCTATAAATGCTGCCTCACATATGGGAATACGACTCTGATTTAGCCTGGTGAGTTCTGGGCAACTCTGACATGCCTGAGGAGGAGCAGAAAAGTCTGGTAGGGAGGCTGTGACTGAGACCACAACATTGCTCAGGGGAACGGGAGGAAGGTTGCTCATTACTTCCCAAAAAACAATTAAAATTAAAGCTGGAAAAGAAATGCTTGGGAGCAAAGGGAACCACCACTGAACTGCTGAGACAGAAGATATGGATGCAATCCAGAGTAAGGGACGTAACCAGCAAGGGCTGTATTACAGGATTGAAATGCCCCCAAAATTGCAGACAGGAGAATAGCCCATACATACCAGAACTGAAAGAGATGCTGAGCTGCAGAAAGATATATCCATCCCACATTAATGTTGGACATTAATCGGTCCATGTAAATTCTGCTGGTGCACTTTAGAGTAGTGCTGTTTGAAATAGTACTACATTAAAACACACTAGAGAACCTTTAGGGAGCACCAGCAGTCTCTATCAATTAATGTGAAAAACCTTAATGCACTTTAGAAGTCACTCCCCCATACAGTGCATTGCCACACTGTGTAGATAAGCCCTCAATATGTTCTCCAGTATCATTACCCAAAGGCCAGCTACAATTTACTATATGACAAGAGAGCATTGTTGTGCAACTGTATAAGACCAAATCTGGCCTTATGCAACTGCATCCATAGCCCCAGTCTGTGAGTGAGCTAGGAACCATGATGGCAAATTTGGACTCAATGATGCTGCAACAACTCCTATGGCCTGCACAGACACAGAGGGATGAGTGGAACAAAGAGGGAGAAGCTTATGATAAAATAGGTACAGTGCATGCAGTGTGGGAAGCTCCTTTACATGAACTCAACACTTCCCAAGCACTTCCACAACTTTGGAGTAAGGAGCTGTTTTTTGTTTCTCTTGACACTTACGCAGCAAGCTGACCTGTCTCTTGATTGGCTCAGACCACTGCAACTACCACTGCCCCCCGGCCCAAAAGGTTACTAACATACAGCAAGATGGTCCTTTATAATGATAAAGTAAGAGGTAAAGATAATAGTAATAATATAAGCAGAATTGTTTCTAAAATAATATGACTCAACTTTTTATAAAAGGTAACTGAAAACCAGAAATTCCAAGAGATGTTATTGGTACTGACATTTAATTTTGCAAAGGTTTGTCTTGTTACCTGTTTTATTCTACTGTGAATAAATTCTTGTTCATTAGAGGATTGTATTGTGACTATTTCACCACGAAGCCAACCACAGATGAACTCAAAGATGGTCCACTCTGAGGCACTAATATGAAAGAGGTATTCTGCTCCTTGATAATAAGACCATGGTGGTTCTAAAATAGAAGCAAAAGATTTAAATGTGTTGCAAAAGGTTTAAGACTTCCTTTCGATTCTTACATGGAAAATTCTTTGCAACTAACAAAACGTCTATCTGAATATACTATATATCACAGGACAAAGATTCCATTATAAAAAAACCTCTCATTAACTTTGATCTATCATATATTATAAACTGACAGAGATACTAAGCCAAATTCTGGCCTGAATCATACCCCATGCAACTCCAATGATATTAGTGGGGCTGCATGGCATATAAGCAAAGGCAGAATTTGGCACATTGATTTTAATGAGTCTCAGAGGATACCAAATTCCTACACCATCTGCTCTTGGCTAGATTCTGATATCTTTAGTTGAATAGTATCTTACTTGAGTACTCCCACTATTACTAGGGGCTTGTCTTCACTATGGGGGTAAGTCGACCTAAGTTATGCTACTTCAGCTATGTGAATAATGTAGCTGGAGTCGACATAGCTTAGGTCGACTTACCCCAGTGTCTTCACTGCGCTACATCGACGGGAGACGCTCTCTGGTCAACTTCCTTTACTCTTCATGGAGAGCTGGCATACCGGGGTCGACTGGAGAACGCGCTGCTGTTGATTTAGCAGGTCTAGTGAGGACCCGTTAAATCAATTCCTGCTGCATCAATTGCAGCAGCGTTGATCTCCCCGAGTGAAGATCAGCCTTAAGAGTGGCAAAATTGGGCCTTATAGAAGCAATGAGATCAATAATTCTTACAACGTTACCTAATGGGAGTTTAACTTTTATTAATTATTTTTACTTATAGCTTAAATATATAATTCCACATAATAGCTTTTCAAGATGTGAAAACTAAAACATGCTTTTTCATACCATTTATGTACCACTGTGGACTCTTTGGCTTAACACCTGTAAAGAAATAATAATTAAGAAACAATATTTCACACACCAATCATATAGTAGAATTTAACAAAAAAAATTATATTACTTCTTTTGTTGGTCAGGTAGAAAATTCAAGAGGGAATAAAATAAATATTGGGCATGTAGTTTTTAAACTAACATGACATTTTTCAGCAACAAGGTAAGGCACTTGTTCTAGATTTTCAGCTAAACATTCATTACCACATACTGCTCATCAGTATAGGTCATTTCTAAACGATGTGCATATTAAAGGCCATTCAGCAAATGGAACACCAATCTCAATCCAAAATCTAAGGGTACTACAGTCCTGCTTTCATTCTATGCAGCAGAACTCCCATTGACATCAACACAGAGTTCTGGCATGGAGTAAGAGCATTCTATGGCCCAGAAACATTTCCCCTGTCTCTTTGGGGGAGAAGGGATTGCTCAGTGGTTTGAGCATTGGCCAGGGTTGTGAGCTCAATCCTTGAGGGGACCATTTAGCGATCTGGGGCAAAAATCTGTCTGGGGATTGGTCCTCCTTTGAGCGGGGGGTTGGACTAGATGACCTCCTGAGGTCCCTTCCAATTCTGATATTCTATGATTCATTATAACATAATGACTAATTATAAGTAGCATACGTAAATTAAAATATAGCTTAACAACTCTTACCTTTTGGTATTTTGCATATCCATTCACGCTTCCCATTGCAATGCAATGGTAGGATTGTTCTATTTACTTTGTATGCAGCACAATTTCTAGAATCATCTTCAACATATATGCTCTGTAAAAATGCAGATATAACCTGCAAGAGACCAATGCTTTCCTCAGCCCTTACTGAGATTCCCAGTTAAGATGTTTAAAAGTTTTAATACAAAATTAAACGTAAGTGTTTTGAAATGTATACGTTGCACCATTAGAAAACTAATAAACTTGGGGTACCTGAAGTATGGTGAAGAACTCTTAAAATGGGGTCCACAGCTACTCTCTTCCCAGGCCCTATTCAGTACTCCTTGCTCATTTTCAAACCCTTTTTCATATAGCTAACTGAGTAGCATTAAACAGTAACTTTTTGCCATTCCTGACAGGAGCTGCCCCACGTCTAATGTCATTTTTCCTCTGTGTTCAAAGTGTTGCATGATTTGCATTTTGTATTTATGTTCTGCACTTATTTTCATCGTTAGTATAGAGAGTGCTTTTGCTGTAATATGTTTCTGGATACAATTCTAAGGATTATATTTTTTATTGGGAGTCTCTTCATGCCCTTGAAATGCTTTAGTACTTTTGAATGCCATGTAGCATTTCAAATAATATTCCCACACTGTGTGTGCCAAAGTCAAAACTTGCCACAATTTAAGATGTGGCACAAGAGATGTGACTAAATCTGTTAATTCAAAAGCAGATTACGGTTAGTGAAGTGTGAAGGAAGAGTCCATTTTGTCTGGCCATACAGTTATTTGGAACGTTTGTTTTTAAATTGTGGTCTCATGATCAGAAATAATTTAATAGGTCCTTAGAATATATAGCATATGAGTATTTACAGGAGTTCCATCAGACCACTCCCATGTTCCTCCAGACAAGGGGTTTCTTTTGTTAAATCCAATCCAGAATTGTCTTTCTTCAGCCCTGTGACAGACAAAAAAGAAAACAGCTGAAGAACATTGCTGATATGTTTGTCTTGTCTAGCTTCATAAAGCCTTTTTAAAATGTATAAATAGCCTGCATATCCATAGCAAATTCTGGTAATTGAGATATGTCAAATTGTGATGTATTTATTAGAGTTCTTAGGAATGTTCTGCAGAGTTGCTGGCATCAATAAAATAATTTCTGTTTCTCTGATTAAAAAATACCAAGTTATCTATTTAAAGATGGCAATGTAAAGATGGGTCAGATGGCGAAGCCCCTTTTCCTTCTGGTGAGAAGTTACTCATGTGGTTACAATGACTTTAATGAATATTCACAGAGTAAACTATTACTTAGTATTGATAAGGATCTGGGCCACACAGAGCACATCTTGACATAAAAATATAGCAAATTGTGGCTGCATACTGCGAGACTGAAATCAGAACTTTCACCAAAAAAATGCACAATCTCTAGCCACTTAGGATAGAGGAGTAATTCATTTGGTTTAATAGGCTGTTTCAGTAGCCGGGAGCTAGCAACAACCGAAAGATACAATCACATGCATTAAGATTATGAGGACAACACTGAGTAAAATCTCTTGGGTATGCATTGCTCAATAAAATGCCATCTGACCACATCTTCTGCTTTTTCGATGTATTTTGTTATCGAAAGATTCCAAATTTAGGGCCTGGTCTTACTCCCATTCAAATCAATGGACGTCAATGGGAGCAGCAACAGACCCTTTAAAAATCATTAGGATTAATAAACAGACCACCCTATCATGGAGGGTTTGAGCATGATGAAAAATAGTGGACTATGGTAAGACTTGTTCCAGCCCTGGCACAGATAAAGCTGGTCTTTAAAAGGAATTACATTAGAATTTTGCTATTGTGCTTCTTTTGGAAGAACAAATTCATTTTCAACTTCACTTCAGTCAGCGAGGGAGATTTAAGTCAGTTATTGGCCACTGTTAATGAGGATGTAGAGGCACAGAGAGTTCTCTTTGTTTAAAAAAATCTTTGGTGATATTAAAATTTATAAATACATGTTTACCGATCAAACATTTTGTTTAAAAACGTGTTCAAAAAATCCTCTTCATAGACATGGGTAAAGCTGGCAAGATGTGCTCCAAGATCTTGGCATAATGCTTCTGCTTCATCCCATGTTCTTTTCATCAGGACTTTCTCATTGTGAAATACCTGCATATAAAATAAGTACCACCACAAATGTGAGAACAAAATTGATTTTGGGTGGCTAATATAATTTTTTTTTTTTAAGGAAGTGCGATTTGCCCTTGCAATAAAAGACATATTGCTCGGTCTGTTTCTGACACTAATCTTACCTTGGCTTTCATTAACTTTGAAATGCTGTATAAAATGGTATTGATAAGTTTGCAGTCCCAGTCCAATGGAGAAAAGATCAAGTGCAACAAGGAGTCTTGGATTCTTTTAGAAAATTTAGAATTTTAAGTTTAAATGAAGAATTTTCTCTCTTTAAACAATGTTGTCTGGAACAGTAGGTAAAAACCTGACACAAATCAAGAGATTTAGGTAACCCTTTTTTACCTTATAGCAGTTGAGCAGATTAGATTCTGATTCCCATCCAGGATAACATATATCCAAAGGTTCTTCAAAATTAGGCTCGTTTTCTTCATATGATTCAATTTTTTGTTTACACAATGACATAGCTTTGAAGCTTTTACAGTTTTTCACCTCCCAGTAACCAAGAGGCTGCCCTCTGCGAACAACAACACAACCTCCAGAATGGCCTAAGGCAAGGAAAACAAGAGTATTCAGCATCAGGACAAAACATTCTGTGCCCAACCAGGACATAGTTTTATGAATTAGCAATGGTCATCTTTTTATGAGGTGCCCAAAGGTATCAAATTAAATAGATTTAAACCATTTTTCCTAATAAACTCAATATTTAGTGAGACAAGGTGGCTGAGGTAAAATCTTTTATTGGACCGTCCGTTAAACGATGACACAACTGTAGATTTTACTCTTCGATCAACAATACGATAGCACTGAGAACTCATTCTGGAGTGAGTATGATTGTGCCATGACCCTGAGACTCCATGGATTGGTTGAGACTGGAAATAAAGGGCTACATTATTATAGCCTTTACTCAGTCATACAGGGGAGCAGGAAGCAGAGGTTACTTGCCTGATACTGCTGGCTGTGAGCAAATGGGCTGGGAGGAGGCTGACTGTGGGAGGTCCCCTGGCTGTACCTCCCCCCCTCCCCCCCCTTCGTAGCTGGACAGATTACCTGGCTGGGTGCACAGTGGGGAGTATGTTGCTCATGGGGAGATGCCGTTATGTGCCATCACTTCCTCAGGGCAGACTGTAAAATTACAGTCTGATCCAAAGTGAGCCTAATCCTACACATATCTTGGGCAGAATGAGGGAAGAAAAGTGATGTTGGCTATGTAAAAAGGGTGGCAAAAGTAATCCTGGCTCAAGAATATAGTGGGAGATATTAGAATTTAATGAGAAATTGCCATTTATCACTACAATATATTACTCACTTGGCTGATGCTTGTTCCAGTTTGTATAGCTCACAGGCTGATTCTTCCCCTCTGTAGTTAGCCAGAAGTATTCTCCTGTATTGTTAAGGTCTTGTAGGGCTATCCAAAAATAGGTGTTATCAGTTTCCACCATGCTACGAATCATACTGTTGATAAAAGCTTGTTCAAATCTTTAAAAAGGTCAAGATAAAATTTTTGTCAGAATAAGATATCCTAATTCACATTTCCGTGAAGAATTCTCATGAAATATTTTGAATAATGCAAAAGAGAGAAATATCCGAAGCCATCTACACTTTCTAATAAATGTCAGTCGTGTATTTGCAATACAGGCAGAATTTGGCTGTTATCGCGTATGCCCAAATGCTATACAAAACAATCGTTTAAACTATCTAATTTGCATATAAAGCAATAACCTCAATGCTTATGGTACAATATATGGAAAGAAAACAGAACACCCAGAAGGCATTATTTATAAATAATGCAGAGCTCAACAATGAGACTCTTCATATGCATGATGAGGGAGGAGTGGTGTAGAAGTTCAAAGGGACTTACAGAGAATATTGAGGGGGGAAAAAGAAAAGACTTGTCACAACAATGTTTTTTCAGGATTTGATTTGGACACTCCAGTGGCACTGAGTAACTAGTGGCACTACACCAATAGCTCTGACATTTCCAGATGAAGATGTTCTGTGGGTGAGTAAGCTTTTTTAAATTAATAAATGGTATATTTAATCCTGCTTTTACTACATATATATAATTTATTGGTATAGCATTATACAAATAAATGCCTTAACTTGTCAACACATTTAATCAGCTTCCTATGAAATTACATACAGTGCATTAAGGACCCAATCCTGCAGAGACTTACACACTCTTAACTTTAGGCACTGTGAGTAGAACTATTGACTTCCATGGGAATGGTCATAGAGTGTAAAGTTAAACATGTGCATAAGTCTTAGTAGGATTTGGGCCTATGTAGCTACTATTCATTTATTTTTTTATTTATGACTTTTTGCTTTTCCTCCATCCCCACAATCCTCCTTCTTAGTAATATGCTCTTTATTGCCAGAGATGATGATAATTTAGGATCTTCTAAGTATCATTAATTCTGAAGAAACGTGTTTGTAGTTGTCACATCAGGACCAAGAACCTAAACAATAAATAAAATGCCATGTTTACTACTACTTTCTCAGCTAGTGCAGTATGGCAACTGGAAACCAGTGTCTGAAACAATGATAATGTGGAAGTGATGAACAGTTATCACACCTGTGCCTCCAGTGAGGTGCTGTGTATCCTCAATTCCCATTGATGCTAATGAGAGTTGTAGATGCTCAGCAACTGCAGGATCTTCCTTTGTATTCACAACATGCATTACTAGTCTACTAAGATATTCATTGAGTATTAGGGACAATGTAGGGAATCACTGTCCTAGCAAGAAGAATCTCCATCAACCTAACTCCTGGATTTTTAAATCCATCCCACTGAATTATTCTCTTGAACCTGACAATGCTGTCTGTCATTTTTTCAACTGACCGGGTTTCTCATACTTTATTTCTCCATGCCACTAATGTTGGGGGAAATGTATTATTTTCCAAAAGTGAGCAAGCACGTATCTGGCTGTTAGTAGTAACTGTGTTATAAATGTGTCTTGCCTCCCATTCAATCACCTCCTTTAGACTATAACCTAATAGAACTATGGATTCTGTGGGTAGCCTAACTTTGAGTTATCTTGAAAAATTCTATTTATTATTTTTCTACAAAATATTATTATGATAGGACATTCCCACCATATATGCAGACAGGTCCCTATTCCTCCACATCCAGGATCAAGTAGGTTTTATCATGTCTAGTTAACATTTTTCAATTTTGAAAAGATAAATGGACAGTTGAGAAGAGGTTCACCAAACACGAAGAGGTCTCTTAATGGTAACAAATGCAGGATATGAGTAAGCTTTGTTAATATTTGTACAGAAAGTTCATATGTGTAAATAATGATCAAATAAAAAGGTTAAAAAATAAAATATTTCCTTATATTTTATGTATATTTGAACATTACTTATTTAGAGCTTGATCCAGCCAGGTGCTGAGGACTCCAGCCCCAATCCAGCAAAGACCTGAAAAATGTGCTTAATTTTAAGCAAGAGTAGTTCTACTAAAGTCAAGCATGTAATTTAGTGCTTTGCTGGAGTGGGGCCAGAGTGCTCAGGATCAAGGCTTTACAGTTGTATCCTGCAAAGTAACCTCAATTTCCACTAAACCAGGTATCTGTCCCCGTGTAATTTACTACCGTAGAGTGGTAGCAATTTCATAAAGGGAGCAAAAAAGGAGACACAATGGCATTGATTGGTGACCCACATTTCCAAGAATTCTATGAAACCAGGGCGGGGCGAGTAGGGAACCACCCATGGCGCAAAGCTGCAGGATCGGAAAAATGGGGCGGAAATGGAGGTGAAATGTAAAGGGGCTAAGGGAGGGAGTTCCACCTCCAACCTGACTCACCTCAGTGGGCCACCCAGCCAGTCTGGGGGTGGGGGCGCAACCAAAAAAATCAGGGGCGGGGGGGGAGGAATGTGTCCCAACGTGCCCTCCCCATATCGCCTCTGGGCGGAAAAATTATGATAAAAATGGTAGAAGACGCAAATACGTTTGCTGTCCCTGGCTGCTAAAATGGCTAGTTATGGTTCTGTATGAATCAATTCCATGGGTCAAGTTTAGAGGTCAGTTACCCAATTGTATCTTTTGGCAGCCTAATAAACTCCTATGTAACTGATCATTTTTATTGCTCCTATAGTAATAGAAAAGAATTGGGTTAGAACACGTAAAAGGGTTAGAACACGTAAAAGGGCTTCTCCTGAGGCCATTTGTCCTCAGACACCCTAAATGTTTCCTTGGAGTAAAGGTGCTCACAAGCCTTGTTAACATTGGCAGTTTTTTTCCAACTTTTCCACACAACTAATTCTGGATGGAATCAAAAATAATGTGTTTGTAGTAAAATAAATCTTGACAAGCTACGAACCCCTCTTACAACATTTACATCTATGTATCATTGACCATTAGTGTATCTACACTAATATACTTTATAATTGATTGAAGAGTATCAACTTTTTTTCCCTAGCTCTCCCCACTGGCTATATAGAAAGTGGAGCTGATAGAAAATTTTCACAGAAATCAGATTTTGTTTTTGGAAAAAAAAAAAATTTTTTAAATGAAAATGCAAATTTTCCATCAATAAACCGCTTCGATGGAAATTTTTCTCTTTTATTTTTTGTAAAAAAAAAAAAAAATGAATTCTAAAACCCAAAATGCGTTCAGTTTAAAATGCTGCCCTGGTGCCCCACAGGAGTCTGATCAAGGAGTCCAGCCTATAGAGGAGTATGGGGACTTGAGGGACCTGAAGTATTAACCCCCCCCCGCAGCGTGAAGCACTATGGTGGCATTTCAGAATGGAAGTATTTTGGATTTTGATTTTTTTCTACAAAAACTTGAAATTTTCTGTAGAAACCCCCGAGTCCATCAGGTCAGTAACTGCACTCTACCAAATTTAATCCCGCCTCAGGAAGGAAGCAATGACAAAATGAACATTTGATTTTAGTCAGTCATTAATCTATGTAGTATTATTTATAAATAGTAACATTTTCTCTATGCTTTTTATCGTTAGAACAACATGTTACAAATATCTTTGCACTGTCTAATAGTATTAACTACCTGTTTGTTACTGTTACGAGTGAAGGAGGACAGTAATAGCCACTGGAAGCATGTTCAAAACTTCGAGGGGTATTGTCGATTTTGTAACAAAATCCACCATGTCTCTCCCATCCCTTAAAAAAAATAAGGGTTATTTATATATCATATATATAATATATATGCACAATTGGTTTGGTTGTTAAGCAAGTGATCCCTCTTTGTACTTTCTATGTAGTCATCACTAATTATGTTATCATATGTGCCCCTTTCCTTTTTGCTCTGGTGGGGTCCTTGTGACCATACCTGACTGACAGTCTTATGAGCCAGGCTTTCAGTAGCCCTCTGTTTTCTGCTATCATGTGATGAACTATTCCGTTCATAAACCAGAGCTGTTTTTGATCTACTTTAAAATGAATACAAATACAATACAAGAAAGAAAAGGATTACTGGATACATATTGAAATATGGCTGGTGTCACTGACTTTGCTTTGTAAAAACAAGAAGCTAATATTAAGTTAAATACCAGTATTCATTTTTTTTTAAAGAATGTTGTATCTCAGAGAGGTAGGTAAGTAGATGTATCCCAATTTTACAGAATCAAAAACTGAGAGTTTAAATCCATTAAACATGAAAAATATTACATGAAAAGTTTATTTCATGATCTGTGATTTGTAGCCTGTAGGTATAAGTATTTGCTAGGTAAGGCATAGGTATAAATTAAGGCAGTAACACAATGAACCTACAAGCCTCAAGGACTGTAAAATAATATATTAGCTAAACTAATCAAGGTCTAAGTCCCAAAAATCCTTATCATAAACAGCTAACCAGGAGTAACCCTAGACCATAAGATATCACAAGACAGAATGGTGTAATAAATAAGTAACACTGAACTGCAGATAGCTAACCACAAGATGCCAGATTATGCCAGCTTTAGATAATTTAAGTTAGGAACATCAGCAGATATCCAGCAACAAGAATGCCATGGTAACTAATTGATGTACAAATAAGCTTGAGGTAAAAGGCCCAGTAACCTAAAAGGGAGAAGGGCACCCCTACATTCCTCACCCTAGGGTGAGGAAATACAGATAAGGAAAAGAGGCTGAAATCCCTACTGAATATGCATTAGGCAAAGTGGACATCAGCGTAACACATTATAAAAGCTGTATCTTGGCCAGTGGCGGATTAGCCACTGGTCCAACAGGGCCCATGCCCAGGGGCCCTGGCCAACTGGTGGGCCCTGGAAAAATGGGCACCCCTGCACCCCGACCCACTCTGCCTGCCTGGCGCTCCTGCTGGGGAGCGGGGTCAGGGTGCTGGGGCTTGCTCCTGCCGGGGAGTGGGGTTGGGGCTGGACGGCTTATAGGGTGACCAGATGAGAAGAAGAAAATATTGGGACACCGGGGAGCAAAAAAAAAAAAAAAAAGCTGAGTGCCGCCGGCGGAGCAACAACGAACAAAACAAAACAAAAAAGATTTTTATCGGGACGTCTGGTCACCCTAGCGGCTTGTCACACTCACCTGCCCACCCAGCACTCCTACCAGGGAGCAGGGAAAGCCCCCACATCCCAACTCTGCTCCCCCACCCAGCAGAAGTGCTGGGCAGGTGAGGAAAGCCCCTATTCCCAACGCTGCTCCCCGGCAGGAACACCAGGGGAGGAGGGGACTGCAGATGGAAGGGGTGGGGGGCCACTTGCTCTAGCCCAGGGCCCCACAAAACCATAATCCACCTCTGATCCTGGCCTGCATACCTTGGGAGATGCCATGATGATGACCAATGGTGGGGATGGTGAGGATGATGACTAACGCAGGGTTTTTCTGCAGGGAGTGGTGAGAGTATATGGATGCTCATATGTGGGATGTTTTGACCATCTTATATTATTGGTCTGCTTTGCTGGGTTGGAGTGTTTGTGATTTTGCTAACTGTGCTAATAAAAATATTAAAAAGACAGAACACCTTTCTGAAATGTAACTAACTGTCTCCTTTAGGCACACGGGATTCCTTGTAATAGCCTTAATATTTCTGGATCTGATCATGAGGCAGAACCTCGCCAAACCACAGAATGCTAACTGGGAATTTATACATAATGAATAGATCAGGCAACATATTGAATACAGGGTAATGAGTTTACTTACTGAATCTTGGGGGTACACACCAGGACATTTAGATATGTCATTTTGGGATGAAGTGTTTAATTGTGCTTGTTAGTTTATAGTTGTGATAACTCACTACTGACGTAGAATATCAAAAGTGTAAGAAACATTGCATGTTGATTCAACAGAGCTGGTATCTGTGACCATCTGTACCCCTATGTTTACCCCTTTCATAAGATTATGATATTTTTGGTACAAAGTATGCCTTGTGAGGTATCATTTGAAAACTCATAATTTGCTGATCATTATTGTCCTGGTAAGATGTGTGTGGCAACATTGTATGTAAAGTTATAATATTCTACTGTATGATATTACTAAGACATGTTCCAAGTCTGGAGAGCAGTCAGTTTCCCAGAGACAAAAGGCTAGCCAGTGCCTCAGACAGATGTCAACAAAATCAAATGGACCATCACCTGGTTAAGTGGCCATTCTTTGGCAGGAAAGAGGATGTGGGCAAAAAATTACGTCTAGACAAAGAAACAACTGGGGGTTCCTGTCCACACATCCTTTCTGTCTCCTGAACCTTAGCTGGAGATGATTCTCAATGAAGGGAAAGAACTATAAGAAGGGAGAGCAGACACCCTAAATGATCTCTCCCTTTCTCTCTATCCATGGCATCGACAACACTTGAAGAACAAAGGAAGCAGCATTGGACTGGGGGAGGGATCCTGACTGAAAGAAATTCAGCCAGTAAGATTGCTGAAACATTGGGTCAGAGAGATCTTTGCTTTGAATTGACTTAGTTTATTAAATTGGGCATTAGCTGTGTTTTACTTTTATTTTCTTGTAATCAATTAAGACTTTTATTCATTGTGTGTAGTCACTTAAAATCTTTCTGTAGTTAATAAAATTGTTTTATTGTTCTAAACCATTGTGTTTGGACTGAAGCGTTTGGGAAACTCCACTTGGGATAACAGGATTTGTGCATCTCATTTTCTATTAATGACGAGCTTTGTATGAGCTTGTATTGTCCAGAAGGGGATGGGCAGTACAAGACATATTTCTGGGAGAAAGTCTGGGACTGGGACTGCAGGTGTTGTGCTGCAGTGTAATTCAAGGGTGGCTGGCTATAGCACTCATACAATATAACGGGGGTAACTTACATGCTGGAAGCTGTGTGAGAGCAGACCAGGAGTGGTAGCTGTCACAGAGAAACAGTGTAAAAGGCACCTCAGGTTGGAGAATTGAGGGAACACAGCTATTCATCAGTCCAGCTTGTACCCTGTCACAGTATTATATGTTACAGCTGTATGATTTTTGTTTTGAACTGAAAATTGAATGTTTACTTAATACTAAAAGTGGTCTCAATGCTGACCTTTGATAAGGCAAATCATCCTTCTTGTTATTTACTTCGTATTATTTTCCTGCTCTGTTTTCAAACCCAGTAATACTTTTAATTTTCTTCAATCATTTTTTTAAAATGCCAATAGCACAGGATAAAATAAATGAAGCACATTATAGCTTACACAGGTCTAATTTTTTTCATCCAAGATGTTCGCATTGGGGAAGAGTTGACAGAGCTTTTGTAAAGGGAAGTCATGCCCCACCAATCTATTAAAATGCTTTGAGGGTCTCAACAAGCACATGGACAAGGATGATCCAGTCAATATAGTGTAGTTGGACTTCCAGAAAGCTTTTGACAAGGTCTCACACCAAAGGCTCTTAAACAAAGTAAGCAGTCATGGGATAAGAAGGAAGGTCCTGTCATGGATTAGTAACTGAGTAAAAGATATAGAACAAGGGTAAGAATAAAGGGTCAGCTTTCACAAATGGAGAGAGGTAAATAGCAGGGTCCCCTAAGGATCTGGACTGGAACCTGTGCAGTTCAACATATTCATAAAAGATCTGGAAAAGGGGATAAATAGTGAAGTGGCAAAGTGTGCAGACAGTAAAATATTACTCAAGGTTGCTAAGTCTAAACCTGACTGTAAAGAGTTACAAAGGGATCTCACAAAACTGGGTGATTAAGCAACCAAATGGCAGTAGAAATTCAATGTTGACAAGTGCTAAGTAGTGAACATTGGGAAACATAATCCCAGTTATACATACAAAATGATCGGGTCTAAATTAGCTGTTACCACTCAAGAAAGATCTTGGAGTCATTGTGAACAGTTTTCTGAAAACATCCACTGAGTGTTCAATGGAAGTCAAAAAAGCTAACAAATTGTTAGGAACCATTAGGAAAGGGATAGATAAAAAGATAGAAAATATCACAATGACACTGCATATATCCATTGTACACCAGAACTTGAGTACTGCATGCAGTTCTGGTTTCTCCAACTCAAAAAAAGATTTATTAGAACCGGAAAAAGTACAGAGAAGGGAAACAAAAATGATTAGGGGTATGGAATTGCTTCCATATGAGGCACATTTTTGTAGTGTTTTGCAGATTTCTTTACAGAGTGAGGACTGAAGTTCAGATATAGAGTGAACGTTTTGTGAGAAGTATTCACCCACAGATGAACAATCCTTGGAACTTAAATTCATAACTTTGTTGTAATAAGCCATGATTTTTAGTGTCTAGCAATCTATAACCCACTAACAATCCCCCGCACCGGCTTCCAGGTTAACAGGCCACTTCACCTTGAACAGTCCCCTGAAATGTGTGTTAATTACTTATGCTCAACAATGTGTTCCATCTTATATTTAGCTGTGACACTCTGAGTACATTTCCCCAGACCTGAAGAGCTCTGTGTAAGCTGGAAAGCTTGTCTAGCTCACCAACAGAAATGGTCGAATAAAAGATATTATCTCACCCACCTTGTCTCTCTATTTCATTTTTGTTCATCAGTTGTACTTGGCATTCCATCCCTTAAATTCACCTCCTTCTTTCCTATCTTATTTTCTGCAGGCATGGTAACATTAATAGTATCAGTATTGAGAGATGGGCCCTTTTTACCACAAGTGACAAGCAGTAAATAAGAGAAATGCCTGTTTTAGTGCTATGCTATGGTAGCTTTGAACATGTCAATTAAATTACTGAGGACCATAACTGCCCACTGATATATGTGTATGCAGTGTTGTTGTAGCTGTGTTAGTCCCAGGATATTAGAGAGATAAGGTGGGTGAAATAATATTTTTTATTGGACCAACTTCTCAAAAGCTTGTCTCTCTCACCAATAGAAGTTGGTCCAATAAAATATATTACCTCCCTCACCTTGTCTCTCACTTCTCTCTCTGTCATCAAGTAACTGACAGCTCCAGAGCTCCTACCAGAAGCGGGTTTAAGGAAAGTTCTTAAAATCATTGTTTTTGGACAGATTGCCATAGAGAAGCTGACCTTTGTTACAAGACATTTTCTCCCTGTTAACAGATAATAGGTTAAACGAATAGTTGAATAGTAAATAAATAAAAGTTTAAAAAGAGCCAAATAGCTCATGGAGAGTTGAGAGAAGAGGAAAAATAGTGATTTCTGCAATTATTAGCTAAAGATGCACTGCAAAAATCAGAATCATCAGCTGATCAGATGCACAAGAGATTTTTAATGCTAATCAGACTGAGGATCAAGTAATGAAATCAACAGAAGATAAAAACCTCAGTAAAACAGATAAGACTAGAAAGCTTCATAAAGACAAACAAACATACCTGGGCTAAGAATCCTTGAGAGAAAAATAAGAGGCATAATGAATTAAAAATCAGATGTGAGACAAGCCACCAGAATTTACCTATAGTTAGTTAATGTACATCAACAATGACAAAAAAAAGGAAGAATAAGTAAACCTGGAAGAGCCCATAGAATGAAACAAAGAATAAAGTTAATTTTCTTACTAGTAACAGGCAGAATTTTCTATGACATGATGGCAGCTATGCTAATACAGAAAACTACAGTTTGGGGATGCAACATCTATTTAACCAACGCACATAGAATAGATGGAAAAAGAAAATTAATTAGCAAGATAAAGAGTGCAAAATAAAAATTTAAACTTACTGACTACTTTTGATCAAATGCACACAACTGCTTCTATCAAGTTAAAAATTAACAGACCCATAGAAATCAAGGAACTATACCAGGCTTGAGCATGTTTTACAGGATGAAAAACAACAGAGAGCAAATAAGAGGCAACTCCCACAGTACATTCCACTATTTATGACCTATGAGTCAGACATGAGTTCTGATCCTGGGAGGTGCTTCACTGCCTTTTGCAATGGTTGAATGCCTTCAAATCACACTAAGTTGAGAGTGCTCAGCATCTCTCATTCACTGCTTGGTCTAATGAAACAGGCTCTGTTCACCCCAATGAGGGGCAAAGGAGAGAGGGAACAAAATTAAGAATATCTTTCTGAAGAAAAATGTGAGCGTGATGGGGTATATAAACTCAACACTGGGATAGAAGGAGCAGTTCTAGGCCTACGTAGCCCCACCCTATTGCACCTGCAGAACCTGCTCCAGCTGGAGGAGGAGTTTAAAATAGAGCTGGGCAGTTCAGAAGGGTGAGGAGAAGAGATAGGATAGAATAGGAGATAGACTGGTAGGGGAGCCCAGGCTCTCAAGTCTGCTGTGAGGTGGTATAAACCCCTCCCTCCTTGGGATAAGGGGATTAAAGACATTGTAAGCCCTGAAGTAATGATGTGAGGCCTTTGGGGGCCCTCAGTTGGGCTGGAAACTCCTTTTTTGGGAGCGGGGGGGGGTCTTTGGACTTCTATACCTTGTTGGACTCTATCCCAGAAAGGGATGATTTCATGTGTGACCTGGCTAGAGGGTTGAGTTACAATCTGTAATGCTGGACAACCAGGGCAGATCAGGACCCCAGGCCAATTCACTTGTGTATTAGTACAGATCAAAGTAATGTGTAAGCGTGTATTGAGATGTTTAAATGTCATGAAATCTAGTGGAATGTTATGTATTGTTTTCACTTATTTGTTCCTATGATAATGTAACAGCAAACATTTACTTTGTGCATATTCCTGTAACTAAATAATCCAAAGAAATCTTGTGAAATACTAATGAAGGACTTTAACAGAAAATGTTAATTTCAAAGCAAGTGGCCATTATGTGATAGTTGGCGATTAGAGGCTATGTGCATTCCTCACTCAAAGGAAAAGTCCATTTGGATAGCGACATTGTCAGCTTGTTTTCTGTGTGAAGATACTATAAATATGGATTAAAAGAAAGACCCTTTATCTCTGGACTGTTTGGATTCTAACAGGGCAGAATAACTAAATGAGAAGACGGAGATACCAGAGTTATTCCTGATAGCCCTGAGAGACCTTTAGGAAACTGGCAGATTACTATATCTTGCTACCATTTGGAATTATAGACTATGATTCTCTGGTACATATATTTTACCTGCTTTAACCTCCCAACAACTCTCATTGTTTTTCTTAGCTAATAAACCTTTAGTTAATTTACTATAGAATTGGCTGTCAGCATTGTCTTTGGTGTAAGATCTGGAGTACCAATTACTGTGGGTAAGTGACTGGTCTCTTGGGAGAAACCTGATGTGGTGTGATTTTAGGTTTAAGTGAACTTTTATCACAAAGTCCAGTTTGTCTCAGTGGCAAGACAGGCTGGAGAGTCTAAGGGGACTGTCTGTGACTTCATAGTAAGACTGGTATAGTGATCCAGGAGTTCACATTTGTTACTGGCTTGGTGAAATCTAATTACTGGCTTGGTGAAATCTAATTATAGAACACACCACCAATTTGGGGTGTCTGCCCTGTTTTCTGACAGTCTGCCCTGAGGTAGGCACTCACAGTCGTGAGCCACTCCAGACAGTGTGACAGTATCTACTCAAAGAGAGATTGCCAACATGCTGGAGTGACCACTGGCAGGCAATACTAGAGATGGGGGAGAGTTGCGACCCAGGGACCTAACCACTTGCCAGTACCACTCGTAATCAACAGCCCCGTCACAGCGAGGAAATTTTTTTTTTTTAATAAAATATCTGTTTGTGTGAAATATTCAAATGGAATGAAAAAGAGTGTAGTGACTGAGGTGGTCAAAGAAATTATAAATGTGTACAACCTGCAGGTAGATGGAAAGACCTAAATACAACAAAACTCTTGATACTTGAATGTTACTCCAAGTTATTCATTCAGCAGTACACTATTGAATGATAATCAAAGGTCATACTACTTCTAATTAATAATGAGAACCACCCTTACCTAAAGATGATGGATGCAGTCACAAGGTCAAATTCCCAATTTTTTCCCCAAGCAAACTCCCATTCACTTCTGTCTACTTTAATCTAACCTAAATATTTATATCGGCCACATCACCAGGTATTTGAATGCTTTACTAATTTGTTAAAGCATACACATGAAATTTGCTGTCTCTCTTCTTCCCCCACTGGAGAGAAAAGTTGTCCACTCTTGATTTTGACGAGGTCTTTCCTGTGCTTGCAGCTTTATAAATTATTAAAAAATGACATGTTCTTACTAAGCTGCAAGAATCTTAACAGCCTGTGCCCAAGAGCTGAGATGAAGGAGTAGGGTCTTTGAAAGAAAAAAAGACATCTGTAACAATTCTGTCAGTTCAATGACTTTAAATAATTAACTGCTGGTAATGGTATCATCATAATACCATTTTCTACTTTTAAACACAAGACGGAAACAAGAGATTCAGTGAACTCAGAACCTGTTCTGTGATCAGATTTTTAAGCTTCATCTTTAATAGTACTCATAACACAACACACCTTAGAATGACAAAACACCTGAGAATATTATAGTATATCTATTTACTTGATATACCTCAAAATAGAGATTGGCTCAAGTGAAATGCCCTTATGCAAGCACCCTAACTTTGGGGAATTTTCTATTTGGCTCCAGATGTGGATACAAATATCACAGAAAGTCTCTATCTCCATAATGGTATGAACAGAAATCTAAGTTCTCAATAGACCTGAATTTGGGGGAAAATTGGATCTAGGTCCTAACTTTTTAACTTGGTCCCCTCTCCAATTTAAATTGAATCTGTCATGTTTCTTGACCTCTGCACATAGCTTTGTTATTCAAATATCGAAAGGGAATGCAAAAAAAAAAAAAAAGGGAGGGGGGGAAGGAAAAAATTACATTGTGAAGCAATACTGCTTCACAACCAAAGAAAGGACAAATATTTCTATTGAAAAAGCTTTTATAAAACTTCTCTATAAAGTTTTGAGCAATTTTCAAGGACACCAAAACCCATCAATCCCAGAATGTTTCTTTATAGTGTGTCTGTTGAACAAACTGGTAGCAAAAACAGAAACGTTTTACCACTGGACCACATAGTTTAAAAAGCTTGAATTCCTATTATTTTCTCCCTTTTAGATAGCTTCATGCCTTTCCATTTGTTTTACAAAAGTGAAAGGAAAGTCAGATTGAGTGTAAAAGTTCATTCTCCATATTAAAAAAAATGACTGTTTTTCACCCTGACATTCCACTTGAAACTATGAAAACCATGTGGGAGGTGGGGCATCATGTAACAGTCATTATTTGCACAGATGGTCTGCAAGAGTATTTTGACTTTTGATCTAGAAAGAAACAGGAACTTGGGTCATAACTTCAGACAAGGCAGTGATCCATAAAAGGAGCACTTGCAAATCTTACATTAATCTTTGGTTTATACATTTTTAAAGCCAACAATAGGAATGAGATTTTTCCTAGGAAAACTCAAGTATATTTTTAATGTGAAAAAGCAAACATATTAGTTATATACAAATGCGTAAAGGTTTCCGATCACATTTTATGAAGTAAAAAAAGCATTATGCAAACTCACGCCTGGACAGTCTGATTCCTCCTTGGACGTGTCATTTTCAAGCTGTCCTGCTATTTTACAAATGTAAAAATATCTATCCTCACAATTTTTAACTTGCCAGTGTCCTGCCTAATAAAAAAAAACAAATAAAAAACCAAATCAAACGCACACACGATTAAGTAGTTTCTTTTCCTATTTAACAGACCCTTTTGGACGAGAGAATAAACAGACAAATTCTCCTCACTTGATTCCTGTGGTTAGTCTTCCCATTGACTTCTGCAAAAACCTTCACTGATACTATTTGTGTGAGTAAGGCAAGAAGGATTTGTCTCTTTGAATATTAAAATGAAATGCCCTTTAACTGACTGAAGCCAATGAAAACTGCTGTTGCTAGCCCTCTCAGAATCATGTCTAAGATGTTTCTTAGCTACCACTGGGCCTGACACTATTAATCCTTTTTCATGTGCATAGTCTTTACTCAAGCAAGTAAAGGTTTGTGGGACTGGGCCCCTAGGCATTTTTAAACTATTTGACATGCAGAAAATGAATGCTTTAAAAATTAAATTTTGTGCCTTGGTCTCTGCTACGTTGCACTTTCTATAGTCATTTACATCTGTGCAAAATGGGTGAAAAATGCTCATGTGTATCTAAATTATAATTTAATTAATTATCTTCAGCTCCAAGACATTAGGCCTGATCTTCCAGTTCTCAGTTACTAAGAGTAATCCTTGGTTTCTGAGGGACTACTCCCATGAGTAAGGATTAATCACATGAGGAAGGGTTTTGCAGGACTGGGCCAATTATTAGGGACTAGATAGAATTTCTGATAATTGTGCAGAATAGTGTATTCTTTGGCAAAAAACATACTTTACTATAAAACCTGAAAATGGTATCACATGGCATTAAGGAAAGCGTTTATTAGTGGGTTTGAGCATTACTGAATTATCCTTTGGCCAGATAAAATATTGGTGAATGTTTTTAGACATCCTTGTTTGGCTAGTAGGAACTGTAATTTACCATTCTTTTTTTTTTTTAAATGTATGCATATTGCTCCCAGTCTCAAAATCTCTGGCAGATTTGGAGTTCAATCCTGCTGCCACTAAAAACAATGGCAAAACTTCCAATGACTTGGAGTGGGACTGGACAGTATATGCTGCTCCTTGTATATTTTTACAAGATCTTCCATAAACTGCTATAAATGCTGAGAACTGAGAGCAACATGAAAACGGCATACTTTATCAAAAAAATTCATTTGGAGCTTTCAAGTTAATAACCTAAATACAATAAATTAAGATGCACTTTATATGGATTTTAAATTATTTTCTCTTCACTGAAATAAAACTACCTGCCCACTGATTTTTGTCTTCTTCCATTTGGCAAGCATTGCATTATTCCATTTCTTATTGAGGATGAGGCCCAATGGTTATGATTCATTCTCTGTTTTGTTTGTGCATCAGCACAGTCCTAAGACTGATTTTTAAGGCTATATCATACTTTTCAAGACTCAGAGTCATTAAGCATCAACAGGCAATGTTGTAATGTGATTAGGGATGGAAAAATATATGCATATTAAAAAGCCCGACACTGATCATGACCAAAATTGATTAACCTTACTTTATTTTTAAAAGGAAAGGAGGAATGAAAACTTACAGATCCTTGTGCTGAAACACAAAGTTGACTTGTTCTCTGAAAGATATTAGGCTCTTGTTTGTGCCAGTTAGTGAAGGTTACTGAGGAGCCATCAGACCATTGAAAAATAACTGGGGTTTTATTACTGTTCAAGCCAATCCATGTTTCGGTTACATTTTCTGTAAAAGAGATTTTAAATTTTGATGAAGCAGAAATAAATGCCAATTATTTCCATAGGATTAACAGCACCTTTTAAAAAAAATGCAGAATTTCAGTCAGTTTCACCTTTTTTTTTTTTTTTTTTTTTTACAGAGATATGTTTCTACTTTACTTTATAAAAAACGGCTTCAAAAGTAAACCAATGTATGTGATGTTATGATCTGTAAATGCCCTGGGGGAAAAAAATTGGGAGCATATGCATGCAAGGGGGAGAAAAAATGGTATAGAAGAGGAAGTTGACTATGGAGTAGTATCCTTTTTAGGGCTATCAAGAAATTAAAAAAATTAATTGTGTGATTAAAAAAGTTAATCACGATTAATTGCACAATAATAGAATAGCATTTATTTAAATATTTTTGGATATTTTCTACATTTTCAAGTATATTGATTTCAATTACAACACAGAATACAAAGTGTACAGTGCTCACTTTATATTTATTTTTGATTACAAATATTTGCACTGTAAAAAACAAGAAATAGTATTTTTCAATTCACCTAATACAAGTACTGTAGTGCAATCTCTTTATCATGAAAGTTGAACTTACAAATGTAAATGTAAACAAACTTGTTTCTCTTAGCGATTGGCTGAACAAGAAGTAGGACTGAGTAGACTTGTAGGCTCTAAAGTTTTACATTGTTTTGTTTTTGAGTCCAGTTATGTAACAAAAAACCCCTACATTTGTAAGTTGCACTTTCATGATAAAGAGATTGCACTATAGTACTTGTATTAGGTGAACTGAAAAATACTATTTCTTTTGTTTTTTACAGTGCAAATATTTGTAATAAAAATATAAAGTGAGCACTGTACACTTTGTATTCTGTGTTGTAATTGAAATCAATATATTTGAAAATTTAGAAAAACATCCAAAAATATTGAAGAAATTTCAATTGGTATTCTATTGTTTAACAGTGCGACTAATTGCAATTAATGTTTTTAATCGTGATTAATTTTTTTGAGTTAATTGCGATTAATCGACAGACCTAATCCTTTTCCACCCAGCCTCTGTAGCTGGGAACTAATGGGAGCTCTACTCTACGTGGGTGGGGAGACAAGACCTCTTGGAAGAGCCACTGTAGATTCCCTACTCAGGGCAACTTAAGTTGCAAAGAAAAAGGTATCATAAACATTGCTGCTTTGAGCAGTAGTAGTTCTTGCTCCATAGCTTTTGCACAGGGATTATTATTGAATTAAATAAAAGCCCATGCTGTCATACAGGTGTAATTTGTAAAGTGTAAAAAAAATATGCAAAAATTCCTGAGAACTTAACAATTGGGCAGCAACAGACCATGAATTCCAGTGATGATTGAACCTGGTGATACTGTAAACCCAATGAGCACTCAGCCAGTCTGAAACGATGGAAACAGCTACAAGCATGACTCAGATATTCTAGGCTTCAGAGTGACAATCCTGGAATTTTACTATATAGATGCTTGGGAGCAGTTTGCAGGGGCCCAGCCAATAATAAAATGAAAAGGATAAGAATCAGACTGCAAAGGGCTTATTCAGGTCTTGCTCAGAAGCTAGAATATGCCAAGATCTATGGTAAGAGACACTTGACCATTAGACTCTGATGCTAGTCCCACCTCCTAGAGGGAACAGTGTTTTCTGGAGCCTTACAAAAGGGCGTTGAATTGCATGGGCTACTGCTCTTCTTTTGCATGAAGGGGAGAATATGGCCCTTCACTACCTTCATACACATTCATTTTGTTTATTTAATTACAACAGTGCTCATTGGGGTAGCAGATGAGATACACATCTCATTGTTGTGAGGATCCTAGAGCGGGGGTGGGCAAACTATGGCCCAGGGGCCACATCTGGCCCTCCAGACATTTTAATCCGGTCCTCAAGCTCCCATCAGGAACCAGGGTCCAGGACTTGCCCTGCTCTGGCGCTCCAGCCAGGGAGCGGGGTCAGAGGCTTGCCCCACTCTGTGCGGCTCCTGGAAGCAGTGGCATGTCCCTTCTCCCCCCGCAGTTCCCATTGGCCAGGAACCGTGGCCAACGGGAGCTGCAGGGGCAGCACTGGCAGACAGGGCAGCACGCAGAGCCACCTGGCTGCGCCTCCACGTAGGAGCCGGAGTGTGGACATGCTGCTGCTTCTGGAAACTACTTGAGGTAAACGTCACCCGGAGCCTGCACCCCTGACCCCCTTCTGTGACCCAACCCCCTGCCCCAGTCCTGATCCCACTCCCACCCTCTGAATCCTTCGGTCCCAGCCTGGAACACCCTCCCTCCCGCACCCTGAACTTCTCATTTCTGGCCCCACCCCAGAGCCTTCACCCCCTCCCACACCCCAATCCCAAATTTTGTGAGTATTCATGGCCCGCCATACAATTTCCATACCCAAATGTGGCCCTCGGGCCAAAAACTTTGCCCACCCCTGTCCTAGAAGGAGCAGGCATCATAAATTCGTATTCTATTGTATATCTGTACAAGACAAATAATATCATGCCTGAGTCATGTGGAAACCCATCATTAAAAGAACTTAATGAATCAAAAAGAATTCAGTTATTAAAAGTAACACAGTTTAAACTAACTCTCCAGCACTCACCATCTTCAAGAAGGTTAATAAATAACTCCACATCTGCCAAGGAAGTTATACTAATGAGATTGCTATTATCAGTCTTGCAAGAGAGTAAAGCCTCATTCCAGCTCTTTTCCTCTTTATGAAGTTTGTAGCAGTTGCGGTTGTAGGGATACCAGCCAGTGTTACAGCGGGTAGGATGATACTTCCATATATCTTAGTTAAACAATAAAAGATAAGACTATATTACACAAAATTAATTTCAGGCTATGCTCTATTGTTTTCTTAATACAGTCATAGCTTTTTTTTTTAAATTTACAAAAGTAGAAATATAAAACCATCCAAAACTACTAGGTAAAGACAGAACATTTCCACATACGAACATGCAGTATCATGTATCAAAATACAAATGCTAAATATAGATACTTTTTTGTAAAAAAAACAAAAAACAAAAAACCCCACCAAATGAAATATTACCATTGAGAGACTTACCAAATGTTTCATATTCTGTACTATTTCCATATTTTTTGCATACATAAGGCAATCCAGATTCACATTTATAACTTTGCCAGTCATACTGCGCCTTTGAATTAAACACCACACAGTGATTTTCTCCAAGTGCGCTATTGGTGAGACCTACAACCAATTTTTAAAAAAAAACGTAAAATTAACCATAATTTACTTTTGAATTGCAAAACAGGCTTACAATCTTCTACAAGTGTTATCATATTGATACACAAACCAAAAGCTCTCAGTAAAGTAAAACAAGTTTTATTGCTCAGCACTGGGTAATGCAAAGGAACTGATTGAATTCACAGGAATTGGATGGTTGAACATCACAATCTATATTTGTTGGTACGTGTTTGCTCACTGAGTGCTATCCCATGAAATACCTGAAAAGTTCCAGTGTCCATTTTCTGTGGAAATTTATAGCCTTGAAATATGGGACAAGGGATGTCATAGGGCTTATCATAGTAACGTGAGACTAATCAGTTAAAATTCCCAATAGAATACATCTTTAAAATACCCTTTAAAAAGTCCGATCAATGAAACCCTGATCTATGTCCCTGGAATTTTGAATATCCCTCCAAACGAAAACACAAAAAGGGCCAATACTCTTATAAATTTCAGTTATAGAGAACATACAATTACAATTCAATAATATAGTGCAAGAGGAACATCAATTACTTGATCTCCAGTTCACAAATGCCAATGATGCTCCATCGGACCACTGCCAGCCAGAAGATTCATCCAGTCTATTTAGCCCTGTCCATAGCAGAATTCCTTTAGTGCTTAACTTCTCTGAAATATAAAAAATAACCAAAACATGTTGAACATTTCAGATGCAGATATACTGTTCTGATCTCTCATGATGATAACAAAGCAAAGCTTAAAACAAGTCTCCAGAAGGCTTAGGAATGCCATTGGCATTTAATCTTTGCTCTTGAAAATGTTCTATTCCATTACTAATCAGTATTATACTGAAAGACAGCTAACTCAGCCAGTCACAGTGCAGGGATAACATATGTCTGCAACAACATGATCTCTTCACCTTCCATCCTGTTTCAGGTTTTCTTGCTCATTATGAATGAAATATGATTTTAAGGTCAATTATAGTAAACAACAAAATTGTCAGACACTTAAATGAACATAATTTGTTGGAGAAGAGTCAACATGTTTTTTGTAAAGGGAAATCATGCCTCACCAATCTACTAGAATTCTTTGAGGGAGTCAACAAGCATGTGGACAAGGGGGATCCAGTGGATATAGTGTACTTAGATTTTCAGAAAGCCTTTGACAAGGTCCCTCACCAACAGCTGTTAAGCAAAGTAAGCGATCATGGGATAAAAGGGAAGGGTCTCTCACGGATTGGTAACTGGTTAAAAATTAGGAAACAGAGGGTAGGAATAAATGGCCAATTTTCAGAATGGAGAGAGGTAAAGAGTGGTGTCCCCCACGAGTCTGTACTGGGACCAGTCCTATTCAACATATTCATATATGATCTGGAAAAAGGTTAAACAGTGAGGTTAAAACATTTGCAGATGATACAAAACTACTCAAGATAGTTAAGTCCCAGGCAGACTGTAAAGAGCTACAAAAGGATCTCTCAAAACTAGGTGACTGGGCAACAAAATGGCAGATGAAATTCAATGTTGATAAATGCAAAGTAATGCACATTGGAAAACATAATCCCAACTATATATATAAAATGATGGGGTCTAAATTAGCTGTTACCACTCAAGAAAGAGATCTTGGAGTCATTGTGGATAGTTCTCTGAAAACATCCACTCAATGTGCAGCAGCAATCAAAAAAGCGAACAGAATGTTGGGAATCATTAGGAAAGGGATAGATAATAAGACAGAAAACATCATATTGCCTCTATATAAATCCATAATGCCCACATCTTGAATACTGCACGCAGATGTGGTCATCCCATCTCAAAAAAAGATATATTGGAATTGGAAAAGGTTCAGAAAGGGGCAACAAAAATGACTAGGTGTATGGAACGGCCTCCGTATGAGGAGAGATTAATAAAACTGGGATTTTTCAGCTTGGAAAAGAGAGGACTTGGGGGGATATGATTGAGGTCTATAAAATCATGACTGGTGTGGAGAAAGTAAATAAGGAAGTGTTATTTACTCCTCATAACACAAGAGCTAGGGGTCACCAAATGAAATTAAGAAGCAGCAGGTTTAAAACAAACAAAAGGAAGTATTTCTTCACACAACGCAGAGTCAACCTGTGGAACTCTTTGCCAGAGGACATTGTGAAGGCCAAGGCTATAACAGGGTTCAAAAAATAACTAGATAAATTCATGGAGGATAGGTCCATCAATGGCTATTAGCCAGGATGGGCAGGGATGGTGTCCCTAGCCTCTGTTTGCCAGAAGCTGGGAAATGAGCGACAGGGAATGGAACACTTGATGATTATCTGTTCTGTTCATTCCCTCTGGGGCACCTGGCATTGGCCACTGTCGGAAGACAGTATACTGGGCTAGATGGACCTTTGGTCTGACACAGTATGGCCATTCTTATGTATAAAAATATTTAGTGCCTTCACCTGCAAACTGTAGACATTTCAAATCCTAGTGTAATAGGAATTTCAGAGTTTCCTGTTAGCCACATCCTATAATTGAAAGTGAGAATTGTTGGGATTCCCTCCAAGACCTCTTTCCACTTGGCTTCCCAAGAACTCAGTTTGACTCCAGACTTTGTCACTCAGGTATCTTCATTTGGCATACAGCAATGCTACACTGAGTTGATCAGGCTCAAACGCAGTGGGAATAGATGAAGGGTTCAGAATAGCTCCAAAATTACACAGAAACTCTCCCTTTATATACATATCTTATTGCATTTACTATACATTACATCACACGTTTTTGGATTGGATTGGTTACTTTGAGCTGTCCATGCATTGTCCATCCTGACCTCCTCTTTACCACCTCTTTACATTCCTTCCTTATCTTGTTTGCAGTAAATGGTTCCCTGGTTGTCCTCCCTCTGATCCTGGCTGGCCCAGACATTTTATCTTTTTAGCCTAATGATCTGTTTACCTCCAAAGTCTATCTTCATGAAATGGGGACTCCTTCAATGTGTTAATCACTCATGTCAGGCCAGGCCTCAGCTACATTCCCTGCTTCTGTTTTTCTGTTTTATATTAGCATTCATTTCATCTGCATCATATTCCTGTCGTTCTGTGCTCTCTTTTTTAAGTTTATTATCCAGCAACACATGCCTAAGACCGCGGTAGTTGTAATTATTTGAACCACCATCAATATTAGACTTAAAGTAGGAACCAGGGGATGCAAGGGCTCTTCTGGTACAGCCCACCACGGTGTTTCCACTGCCTGAACAATAGCATCCCAATGATAACAATATAATTGCTCGGCTATTAGTTGGGCAATGGACACAAACTGCTCTATTTTCCTTTGTATCAAATCAGTGATGTTAATGGACAAGGAATGTACGGGTGCAAAGAGATTGGTCACCAGTGATTCCCATTTGGTGTTGTCTGTCATGACCTCTGTTACATTCTCCTTCATCTTCACACTTGGCCATAGGGCATGGGTCCCAATCTGAGTCAGAGAGGTGAGGTTCAGACAAAATCCATCCAGCACCCTGTCATGGTTTTGTCTCCACTGAAAAGTTGTGGTATCCCAGAGCACATACTGTGTCCCCAAGCCGTACCACCTCCTTCACTCTCTCTTTAATGACTAGTTGGGCCCAACCTCCCTTGCTTGTGGGAGGTTCATTCAGGCTGAGCACTCACAGCACCAGCTGTGCTTGATTTGTTTACAGCAGACTGTGTTTATTTCATCTACTCATGTTGCCATCTTCACACTGGGATAATGTTGTTTATAGGTCCCATTCTCTATTGTACTGTTAATATATACCATACATACTGTTAACATATACCAATCTTTTAGGATTCCTGGCCTGTCCATCTAGGAATAGCAATCACAATTGTCACAGTTGAATTATTAATTTCATGTGGTGCCCAAGATCCAGGACCTTTTAGCCTCGCAAATTGCAAATTTTCCTTCCCGATATTCTTAAATCCCGTATCCATTAGTGTGGTTCAGATAAGTGTGCTGTTTAACATTCACCCCATTTTATTTCTTCTATTCCCTCCATTAGATGCATACCAAGTTTGGTACCATATGTGGCACACAATATTCAATGAATCAATCACAGTATTCACAGATATATTAATCCATTTTAAAGTTTGTGCAACGGAGTGCATTTTACTAATACTTAATACCTCCTGCTGCAAGGTTAAAGTACTAATCCCTCCTCCCTTTTTAATGCTCAACCTAAACTATCAGTTAGCAAGTTAATCTTAAGGTTCAATTCCTTGATATCGGCATAATTCCATAGAGAGACCCCAACTCCAGTGCTACACATATGGTGCCACTGTGTCCCTTTTGGCTGTACGATTTTTGTGTCTTTCTTGGAATATGCCTCCCACCGGATCCTCCCATAATCAAATGTGTGCCCTGATATTATTGGTAAACTATTTTTTTTTTTACATGGGGCTGGGCAGGTTCCAGTCAACCTGTGTTTTGTACAGTCTAAAATATACCTAGTACTGCTGTTTCATGAGCGAGGTATATAAAAATACCATTTTCTAGCTATGGAGCGGTTATTGGATAAAATAGAGGGGGGAAGTTGAGCCCTGTGGAGGGAGAACAGTGTGGATATGCATAGGAGTCTGTGGGACCATGGGCTCACTGTTTCGAACCACCCTCCACCAAACCAGTGAAAAAGAATTGATGATAATGTCAACTATCCATCTGGGTCCAATGTCAGTACAATTAGCGTATATAAGCACACCCACAGTTCTGAAATTCTAGTGCATGCCATAGTTCCCTAAGTCCATATCAACCACCTGGACTTCATTAGCCATCTTGACGTTCCGGACCCACTAGAACTGGAGTCAGAGTCCCGGCAGCTGCAGGTTTTTGTCAGTCAGAATTCATATGCCCTGTAGGTAGCCAGATAGCAGGCCCCCTGACACCTACACATGGCAAGGTAAATCACCTCTCGTCACTATGATCTTAAGCACGGTGCCAGAGGGGTTTACCACAAGACCAGATGAACATTCATCTTCTGAGGCATGTCAACATCTTTGGCTTTCTGCTTGGATAGGAGTGATCTGAACAGCTGTAAAAATTCACCACAGATCTAATGCCACACCAAACCACAAGAGTGTGCCCAATGTTGGAAGCCACCACCACTGCATGGATGCAGAAGGGAAGAAACCATTTCTAGATTCTCTCTTTTACTGAACTTTGTGAATTTTGAGCTGGCTTGCATGAACTCAACTCTGCCCTTTACTTCCCAGGTCTACCAACTATACAGAGGGTCCAAGCTGATCCAATATCACACATGAACCATACCTCTTTGCCTTTGGGAAAGTGTAGTAGGGAGCTAGATCGTGGATCATGAATTTAGATCCTACTTGATGTTCAGTTAGATCTCCTTTTGCATCGAACCATGCCTTGGCCTTCTGTACTTCTGCCTCATTGGTTACCACCATGCTTTTTTAGACCTGTAAAATTTGCATCTGCCAGTCCTGTACCCAGGCTTCTGATAGAGCTACTGTAGCCAGATGGGCTGGAACTGGGTTAATCCCATCCTCCCACAGTGTCATTTGTCTTCTCATCAAGACCTTGTAGGGGCAAAAGCCTGTGGATCTGCACTCCCTAGCTCTGATATGCATTAGTACCAGTGGTAACATTTCATCCCAATTGCTGCCTGTAGCATTAACCCTTTCCTGAGTTCAGATTTTATGGTTCTGT